GTTTGCTTGGCTGTAGTAAATGTTGAATATACTGAGGTTGCAGGAGAGAGAGGTGTGGATGCAGGGCACCACTTAGAAAATTATTGATAGGAATCCAGTGGGTGGTAATGAAGATGGAGCAACATAACAGAATTCAAGGAGGATAAGGAGGAAAATCAACTGGACATAAGGGTGGGTTGGATGGAGTGGAAGGAAGGAGTCAAGGATGAATAGTGGTACCAATCACAGAAACAGAATAGTAGAGGTTTGCAGGTTACAGGTCCTGGATCTATTAACTATATGTGGAGTTGGAAATGCATTTGAACAATCAGGAGAAGTTATATAGTAGAGTTAAGAACACACAGAAGAGCTTAAAGATACAGATTTATGAGTTCTCGTTGTTTAGCTGGTAATTAAATGTCTCTGTGTGAATGAGGTCATCTAAAGAGAGAGTATGGAAATTCTCATGGAATTCAACATTCACTGGTTGCCCAGTGCTGGAAGCCGGTCCATCCTTGCTGCTTGACACAGTCGCTGCAGGAAAGAAACATCTGCACAGCATATGTTTCAAGGGACCTGGCATATATAGCATATTGTTCTTAATATGTTTGCTCTCCTTAGTGCCATGTGTTTTAACCAAGGTCACCTCTCTGAGAAAGGTTGTTTCCCCAGGTGGGGATTTTTCCCTGAGGTTAGGGAGGGGATACAACCCCTTAATTAAGTGTCAGGCGGGTAGTTAAGCTACATAATCTTTACTCCCTGGAATGGAGATAAGAAACGCCCTAACCTTTGTAATAGAAATTGACAGGATTAAAATCGGCTGGTATAAATACAGATGTAACAAGACAATAAACATCAGATCCTAACCAGAACCTAGCCAGAGAACATGGCAAAAGATCCTTGACAGAACCTGGCTACAGAACTTCACTGGAGAACCTAGACAGAACATGGCAAAAGAACCTGGATAGAACCTGGCTAAAGAACCTGGTGACTGAACCTGGCTGGAGAACCTGGCTGGAGAACCTAGTGAGAGAACATGGCACCAGAACTTGGTTGGAGATCCTGACCAGAACTTCGCTGGGGTTCCTAGCCAGAACTTCGCTGGAGATCCTGGAGGGAGAACCTCGCTATGCTGATGAACTGAACCCAGTTTCCATGTCATTCATTCTTCACCAACTCTGTCCACACCTTTGGGGACCCCTGGACCTGCTGGGGTTGGACCCCAGCAGCCCAGATATTGATTGGTGGCCAAAGAGACTGGGCAGCATTCAGAGAGGTCAGATGCATGATAGTGTGCTCTCCTGGAATGTAAAGATTGTTAGTGTCACTAGAAATAACAGGTAGTCATTAGTGTTGAGTGCTTCTGAGAAGTGTGTAAAGATGATGACTAACACATCTGTTGGTGAAAATGACATGCAGGTCATGAGAACAAGAATTATCTGAGAGGAACAATGTAAGCAGACCCAGATTGGAGTAGGCTGATGGAGGCAGTGAGTTTAGACAACTTTTTTGAAAGGGGAAAAAAAAAAGAGTTGGAGGAAAACTATATAACATGACCATCATGCAATAGCATCCATTTGAGAATAAGATATAACAAACAGCCCTAGCCAGTTTGGCTCAGTGGATAGAGTGGTGGCCTGTGGACTAAAGGGTCCCAGGTTCGATTCCAGCCAAGGGCACACACCCGGGTTGTGGGCCCTATCCCCCTCATTAGGGGATGTGCAGGAGGAGGCAGCCAATCAATGATTCTCTCTCATCACTGATGTTTCTATCTCTCTAGCTCTCTCCCTTCCTGTCAGAAATCAATAAAAACATATTTAAAAAAGGTATAACAAACATTGGGTTTCATTGTACCAAGTCATATACTCAAGAGACACATCACTGTGTATTCTACATTTAAAGAGAAGCGATCATGAGGCAAATGGGGAAAGTGCCTATATCTTATATGTTCAGACAAATAGAAATTTAACCCACTCAGGCAGAGAGAAGGACCAGAGCAATACAGGAAAGCTTTAAGCAGCCTCCTGAAAATATTACTGTAAAATCCCAATTTGTCTCGGACGTGTTCAACTTGGCGTGCTTTGTATAAAACATAATTTTTTCATGCATCAACTTTTCTTTGTCTACTTAAACAGGGTCAGAGAAAGGCTGATGCTTGAAAAGTTCTTGGAACAAAAAAAAATCCAAGATTTGACTAAATGAATCATTTGATTAGTTATCACTAACAGCAAGATGCAACCCAATAAGGACTATTAACTCATTGTTTCTAAACTTGGCTTGTTTCTGTACTTGGCTGGATTCCTCAGAGCTCTGGCCAAACAGCAGGGTTTCTGCATGTGCTCTGACCTCCCTGAAGACATCACAATGAGCCAGAAACTCTCAGGGTTCAAAAGAGATCTTTAGAAAAGGGGTAAAAAGGGGCCTGGGTACAACCACAGGGAGAGGCATCCTATTCGGTGCACACACATTCAGGGGATATATATTTACTGTACTTCTTGCAACTGGAAACTCTATTTAGCCTCCAGGACTAATTTTCCAGTCTAAGTCTTCACAATGATGCTAACCTTTGGGTTGCTTACAAGAGAGTAAATGAAAGCTTTCTCTCCTCCAACACATCCTTCCTTGACTTGAAACATGTGACAAGGCTGTTACCTCCAGCACATGCTTTCTGAATGAATCAGCATTCTAAAAGACAGAAGCCCTAGGATGTGCCAATATCAACTGAATCAGCAAAGGATTAAGAGGAGTGGGGAGACAGTTCAATGGATGCAGCCTTATCTAGGGTGTCAATTGCACCATCTTCAAAGTTGGCAGCCTAGGAATCTTGTTGGCAATAAAGGGAGAAAGGGCCAGAACTACCTCTGCAGGGCCCTGAGTGGACCTCACTGGACGGAGGACTGGGGTCTTCTATAGGAAATCAACATCATAATAGTTCGACAGAGGCATGTGTCTGAGGATAGTTTTATTTTATTTTTTGGTTAGTCCTTGCCCAAGGTATTTTTCCATTGCTTTTCAGAGAGAATTGAAGAGAGGGGGAGAGAGAGAGAGAGACAGAGAGAAACATCCATGTGAGAGACACATCGATCAGTTGCCTCCTGCACTCACCCTGACTGGTAAGTGGGGAGCAAACCTACAAGCCAGGTATGTGCCCTAGACCAAGAATCAAACCCATGACACTTCGGTGGGTGAGCCAATGCTCTAATCACTCAGAAACACTGACCAGGGCTGTGAGGATAGTTTTTATGCACAAAGTCCCAGTCCCATGCTAGTTACACTCCTTTTCAAATGTACAGCCTGTTGGATACAAATTGTTCCCTCATTATCACGGTCAGGTATTCCTGCCTCAGAAATGTCCTGGACTCCTGCTTCTCTGTTCCTCTGTTAGGCTGAGAGCTTAGTGCCACAAACCACACTACAAGCCAAGGTTAGGGCTTTGAAGTTTTGGGCTCAATCCTATAGAAAATAGATTTTGTCATAGGATCTAACCAATGTGTTTTCACTTTGTGCCATTTTCTTTCAGCCTCTAGTCCTGGGTGAAGGCCCCTTGTATATATTTACACAGGTTTTATCTGGCAAAAAAATAAAATGCCCTTCAGACTCTGATATCCCCTTGTCAAGATCCAGAAGCTATGGCTTCCTTCACTTTTCCCTGTTCAAGTTGTATATCCTTTTTTCCCTGTTATTCCCTTTATTTTCAGTGTCCTCAAGGATCTCATCCACTGCAATGGCTTCAGCTTTTACCTCCATGCAAGCATTTCAAATCTATACTCCTCTCTTCATCTTATCTACTGAATTTCAAAAAATTTTTAACACTAGGCATCTTCTACATTGTTGTTTCACCTGCATCACAATCTTAACATGTTCGAAACTAAACTCATTGTAGCCCCATAATGGCTCCTTGCGTGTATCAGTTCATGTTCTACCAGAGCAGCAAAATCAGTAGAAGATATATACTGCATAAGGCCAATATGCATTTGTTACTTGTAATTGCTCTTATGCAACTGTGGGGGATTGCTAAGTAGTTTCTGTATGGCTGTTGTTGTCTCTGAGTCTAATACTGGAGCTTGAAGTTCATGGGATAGGCAGTAGGGAAGGAAAGGTATAAATTGGAGGGGGGAGATCAAGAGCAGGCTGGAACCAACAAGCATGAGCTGGAGCACCATGAGTAAGACTGGAACTCATATTAGTGCTTGTTGCCACTGACGGTGATGAGCATATTCAGCACAAGTGGGTCTCTTTGTCACAACTGCTAAACACACTCACCTGGCCTACAACTTGAAGCAATCTAAGGAGGATCAGGGGAAGGTAGAGCACTTGCAGGCCCAATTACTGCTTCATACCAATGAGGTAAGTCAGCAAATCTGCACCATATGTGAGCTACAAAATGGCCACTACTTCCCTTCCAGCCTCCAAATCTCCCAAGAATCACTGTTTTTCTGGGAATTCATCATCAAGATTAGTAAGGAAAATGTCCTCCCAGAGGTGAGTTAAGGCTTTCTCCTTGTAGAGGAAGGGAGAGGGAGAGGGAGAAATAGAAACATCTATGATGAGGGAGAATCATTGATCAGCTGCCTCCTGCACACCCCACACTGGGGACCGAGCCCACAACCTCCGCATGTGTCCTGACAGAATTGAACCCAAGACCCTTCAGTCCACAGGCCAACACTCCATCCACGGAGCCAAACCCGCTAGGGCTGCCCCTTCTCTTTCTATGAGACTCATGCAGCTTCCTACATCAATGACATTGTGCTGGGGACCCTTGATGTGGGAGGCATTTGGTCCACCTGTGTGTATTCAGGTGAAAAGGCTTGAACTTGGAGAACAGAAAGATATCACTGCTCCTGGGGGCGGCGGGGAGGGGGGGGGTGGTCAGAAGAAGCGCTTGGCCCCGAAGAAGAGGGTGGGTGGGAGCCCCAACGGCGCCAGCATTCCAGGGAGGCTGAGGAAGGAGGGCAGGCCCTAAGCCTGAGGGAGGGAAAGAGGAGAGGAGGAGTTTTGCAGCTCTGCCCCTTGGTCTCCTCCCGACAGGGAAGCGCGCGGCGCTGCAGAGCTGAGCTGAGGGCTGGAGCACCATGAGGGGCCCCGCGCTGCTGCTGCTGCTGTTGTTTCCAATCCCGCTTACCCTCGGCTTCCCAGGTAGGGCAGGGGTAACCCCCCCTCCGCTGAGGAGGGGACGGAGGGAGGTGCAGAGGGTGCCCTTTGTTTGTGTCGGAAGCCTTTCTCGGCGCCCTGGGACGTGGGGAGGAGGAGGGAGCCTCCCATTTGGGCACCATTGCCAGCCCCTCGCCAGGCATCCAGAGGGGCCGGGATCCCAGTCCCCTCTGTGTCTGATGTTCCAGGGGTCCAAGTAGAGCCATATCGGAGCAGAAGGCGACTCCAAGAAGTTTGGGTGCGGGCTCCTTTTGTAGCCAGACAACCAATGGGTCCCCGCTGCCTGTCACTACTTGAGATAATTCAGCAGAGACTGGGTTGAATCCTATATGAGCGTTTATTCCAATCTTGCGGGCGGCAGGGGAAGAGCAGCAGGTCACCCACAAGAATCTGCTCTGACCCCCTCGCCAGCTGGCTGGTTATATACACAGGAGGGAGAAGACAGCTATGTGCAGCTGCGGGCTGCAGTGTAACGGAAAGGGGAAGGAGGGTCCGCAGTCAGGCCTTTAGGAGCTCAAAGCCCGATAATAAGGTGGCTAATCCGTGATGTTACAAACAGCTCAGCCTGTTCCTGGGACCAGAGGACTGTCAGCATTCCTGAGAAAAACTCCCGGAGGGGGTCAGGGTCTGGGCACAGCCACCAAATCAAAGCGTGTCCTGTCCTTGGTCTGTTCTTAAAGGTATTTCCTTACTGAGTCATGGACCCATCCAGGCATCTTATCTTTTTACACCCTCGTTTCATTCTCCAGTGTCCCAGGGTCTGTAAGAAAACCTTTCATCTATAGTGATTATGTGGTGAATAATGATTAGACAACAGTGGCTCTATTCTTACAATGTGCCCTTTCCCACTATCAGTTTCTCACTACCCAGTATTTTGCCTCCTTACACGGGGTTGCTCAGGGCCTGGTCTCAGGGGTCTGGCAGGTAGTCCCATAGTCCTGAAAGGAGCCCCTACCTCCTCCCACAGAGGTCCTGGGCCATCCCCTGAAGCTGTAGGCTGGGTCATTTGCGTACTCTTTCAGACAGCACAAGCAGGGCCTTGACTACTGCCCCCAACCCCTCTAGCTGGGGATTCTGAGAAAGTCTGAGCCTCTGGGAGAGAGGTGCCTGCTGAGCGTGGTGACATGTGGCGACATGTGGCATGCACTCTGTTAGCCCCAGGGAGAAAGGGTGTAGCTTCTTGAGGGCGTGGTCTCTAGATTCTAAAGGAAACCTGGTATTTATTAGAGTTCTCCTGGTATTGGAGAACTACTTGAGCCAATGAGCCAATTCTTTATTTTTTAAAATATATTTTATTGATTTCAGAGAGGAAGGGAGAGGGAGAGATAGATAGAAACATCAATGATGAGAGAGAATCACTGATCGGCTGCCTCCTGCACACCCGCTACTGGGGATCGAGCCTGAAACCTGGGCATGTGCCCTGACCCGGAATTGAACTGTGACCTTCCAGTTCATAGGTCGACACTTAACTACTGAGCCATGCTGGCTGGGCAGCAAAACCTTCTTTAGAAATGCCTTTTAAAAACCTCAAGCTTGCCCGAGGGGCGTGGCTCAGTGGTTGACCATTGATCTATGAACCTGGAGGTCACAGTTCAATTCCCAGTCAGGGCACATGCCCAGGTTTCAGGTTTCATCCCCAGTAGGGGCATACAGGAGGCAGCAGATCAGTGATTCTCATCATTGATGTTTCTCTCTCTCTCTCTCTCTCTCTCTCCCTCTCCCTGCCTCTCTGAAATCAATAAAAACATTTTTAAAAAATAAAATAAAATAATAAAAACCTCAAGCTTATTCCTTCATCAGGGAGTCTTAGGTTAGCAAAGAGTTTCAGGGGAGCAGGGCAACATGGATGCACCCTTGTGTCCATGGAACTGAGAAGAAATCCCTGAGAGAGTGGTTGACATAGATAGGGCATGCCAAATTTGGCTTTGCGATCCACACAGTGGGCAGTTTAAATCTGGGGTCTGAGAAACAAACCTACTGAGTTTTAGATGAAGGATCTCATGGGGGATGGGGGGGTGGGGACAGGGTTTCCCCAGATACGTGCTTGGGAGACATAGGAATGGCTGCTGGAAATTCTCTGCACATCTCCAAATGAATGAGTCAAACAAATGTATGAAGTGATAAAAAGGAACATTTGTGTTTTGAGCTGACTCTTGCAAGTTTAAGCCTTTGGTAGGAACTGATTCTGGGAAAAGTGGAAAGGAGACTTTATCCTCAGTGCCATTCCCATCCCCTTTAGCAGGAGTCAGGTTGAAAATGAACTCGGAGGGGGAGGGGAAGCAGAGGGAGAAGTTGAGAAACTAGCTAGAGGCCGTTGAACTCTAAATTAGGAGGCTTCTTTCAGCTGCCTGTACATCTGGTGGAGCCTTTCTCAGCCAAGGGGCCTCTTCTCTTTTTCCATCTGACTGCCATCACTCCCTTTCTCTGCCCTCCACTCTGTTTTCTCTCAGCTTCCACCCTTGTATAGTGTGGGTTGATGCCAGGGCCCAGCCACCCACAGAATCATGGGTTTTCCAGGCTGGGCACTCACTACTCTCCCTGGCTGGCCTGGCTCCTCCAGCCAGCAGGCAGGCTGCCCCCTGCTAGAAGCTACAGCTCTCCTCCTCGCAATCCCTGGCCTATCCTGATTCCTCACTGGTCCTCAGGCTCTGCTCAGACCTCACATGAGCAGAAACCAATTGGAGAACCTTTCAAAGTCCTTCCTTGGCTCCTCTCCACAGAGTCTCTCAGGAAATGTGCTCGGCTGGGGCTACTGAATTCAAAGATGGGGGTTTCACTCCAAGCCCGAAGTTTTGGAAAGCTGGGGAAGGGAGATACTCTCGGCCAGCAGGTCCTGAGGCAAATTACCCTATGTGCCAGGAGAAAGATTTTGAAGATCATTTCTGAGGCACCCTCTTAGCAAGCAGACATCATGTCTCCAGTAAGAGAGAAGGTAAGAGGCCCACAGTCAAGAACCTCTGAAAGAGGGAGATGAGGATCTAGGGCCCCATTAGTTTCCTAGTTATATAACCAGCTGCGATTTCACAGCAAATCTATCCAAGTGAGAGTAATCCTTCCCATTCCCACTCCTAGAAGTTTAGGCTTCTTTGCAGCCTAACAAAGACACAGTATCTATCTATATATAAAAGGCTAAGTGACCAGCCAACCGGCCAGTAGGTATGACACATACTGACTACCAGGGGGCAGACGCTCAACACAGGAGCTGCCCAGCAACAGCAACTTTGCAGAGTGCCCTCTCACACTCCAGGACCACTCAGGGGAAGTTGGACTGCTGGTTTCAGCCTGATCTCCGCAGGCCAGGCCAAGGGACCCCACCTGCTGGAGGGACCCTGCTCACTTCACAGACACCCTTCAAGCCCCGGTGCTGCCCCAGAAGAGGGACCACGGGAAGTTGACTCCAGGGTGTGTCTGGCTTGTCTCACCCAGCCCCACCAGCCACCTTCTAATTAATTTCCTTTCAATGTGCATGAATCCATGCACTGGGCCTCTAGTGTAAAAAACAAAACAAAACAAAACAAAACAAAACAAAACAAAACAAAACAAAAAGCCATAACATGAGTGGAAAGTTCATATAGTCAAGTTCTCTGCATTGGATTGTTTTTGCACATGTATAAGAGGAAGAGTTTTGATTCTGTTGTGAAATGAACTCTTGAAACCTTATTTACATCTGAGGTTTTGGAGGATCACTGCACCTACTTCTGTCAGCAAGGCTGAAGGTGGAAATGAGTCATATGGCCACTAAAAGACTCCATGAATCTTACACCTGGAGAAAGGTGGTTAATGTAGTTTATGTTGGCCAGTCAGGAAAGCTAAATGAGGTTTGCTGAAAGCCATACCATACCAGACCAGCCAAAGCAGTCTTCTGAAATGCCACATTTGGAGATATGTATTAGGAACAGAACACCTGGCTCAGGATATACAATTAAAGTCTCAGGCTAGGCTAGAAATTTCTATTTGGATTTAAAACATGTAATCAGTTGACAAAATTACTCTGCCACTTCTTGGTATTACGGCTTCCTGTACCTGGACTGCTTTCCCCCAACCATCTAGTCTGTTCAAATTCTGCCCATCTTCCAGTGACACCCCCACTTCAGAAGAGGGACTGAAAGGGAACCCTCGTGCACTGCTGGTGGGAATGCAGACTGATGCAGCCACTATGGAAAACAGTATAGAGATTCCTCAAAAAGTTAAAAATGGAACTCCCATTTTACCCACTCATCCCACTTCTAGGAATATATCCTAAGAATCCGGAAACACCCATCAGAAAGGATATATGCAGCACAATTCACCATAGCTAAGATTTGGAAACAGCCAAAGTGCCCATCAGCAGATGAGTGGATCAAAAAACTGTGGTACATCTGCACAATGGAACAGTATGCAGCTGTAAAAAAGAAGGAACTCTTACCATTTGCAACAGCATGACTGGACCTGGAGACTGTTATGCTGAGTGAGATAAGCCAGTCAGAGAAAGATTAATATCACATGATCTCACTCATATGCGGAATCTAATGAACCCAATAAACTGATGATCAAAAATAGACCCAGAGTCATAGAAGCACAGACTGTTGAACCTCAGAGGGAAGGCAGGGGAGGGTAGGTGGGAAGAGATCAACCAATGAACTTGTATGCATATCTACATAACCTATGGACACAGACAATGGGGTGGTGAGGGCCTGGGGTGGGGAGGGGAGCGGGCTGGAAGAGGTTAAGGGGGGGCGGGGGGGGAGAGGAGGACCTATGTAATACTTTCAACAATAAAGATTTTTAAAAAATCCCACAACATCTGTGAAGCGCAATAAAGTGAAGTGGAATAAAATGAGGTATGCCTATACTTCTAGATTCTGAGTTCTTGAAGGCAGAGGAATACTATGTCTTACCCTTCTTCCCTATTTCCCACAGTGCCTACTTGAGCACCTTGAGCCAGGTGAATATTTGTGCTTATTGAGTTAATAGTTCCCTGTAGTTTGGGTATTTGATATTGAAAA